AATCATGGTGTAAAAAATGATACGACTATTCACTGTTATTTTGTTTTAAAAATATTGAAAGTAAAAATGTAATACCTAAAGAAACGAATCCTCCTTTGGTGCTCAGATCTTCAATGGGTTCTCCTCTTAACTCTGGAGGTGGTATCGGCGACCAGATGCAATGAGGCGCCTTAGCACATGCTCTAGTACTTCCAACAACCACAAGCTCCTGGGAGAAAATATTCAGTTACTTAATGAAATAGTAGGAATAATGTAATCTTGTGAATCTAGATAAGATTAAAAGTAATTCCTTCTTGAGAGAAGCAAGAAAAAGCTTTCATTTTTTCCTTGTACGATTTAGCAATTCTTACCTGAAAGAAGGCTATTGCAATAATCACATCTGTATTTTCTTTGAAGCGCATTGGGAATACTGCAGTGATTTTTGCTGGCTGTCAAGATGCGGATTTGCTTGCAGTCAGGCGATGAAAAATGTCTTCGAAGACTCTATAGATGTATCGAGATTGAGCACTTTATGGTTTGAAATTCGCTAAATTGCCATCTGTTTCTATTATTGTTCTAAATTTTTCCTTGGACTTTGTTACTGCTGTGAAATTTATTTAGTCAACAGTTGACAAAAATTACCTGTTTGATGACATAGAATGACTGCCCTGGATGATAAATGAGTTTGATTGGTTTATACATTCCCTGAGATATTTCCTGAGAATCAACATTCCTTAACATTTCTTTCAGCTGTGAGCTCAGTATTACAGCTTGAACTGAGGACATTTCTGCGATAATCTTTGTTGAGACTGAGATAATAAGTTCCAACAAAATAAATCAGCATCTAATATTTAGTCATTATTCTTCTCATTTCAATATTTGGGAACAAATTATATCACCTCATACATATGAAAATATTGAGTATCATGTATAGAAATATTTCGAGTCCTTAGAGATCATTTCAATAAAGATGAGTGTTTTATTATATCTGTGTATCTATATTTTTTATTTTCCTCATGGGTTAGAGTTCATGCCATTGCAAGTTCTCAGAATTTCAAACCTTTCAGCAGTTCTACCTTCAAATTTCTAGGGAATCTGGACAAAATTTTACATCTGTATTTATGTGATGAGCCTTGCTGAATTACTGCAGGAATTTACTTTTCGCTAGAGAATATAAGACTGAGCAGGGACAATCTTAGGGGAGTTAACAGCGATGAAGTTGAACTAAGAGAGGCATATATTTCTCCATTTCATGATATTATTTTCGCTGTTATTTTTTTGTTATTACTTTCTTAGTGTAGCATAGTTCCTTGATGAAATCTGAGACAGTTTTGAAGGAGAACAAACAAATCATATGATTTCGACTTTTAAAAGTGTGGTCTTTTTTCCATATGTTGTTTGTTGAATTATTGTAGTCAATACCTATGCTAATGCTGAAGTATTCTGCCAGTGATCATAGGCTTATAATTTCTGGCAAGAAAATGGCCACTTTGAACGAATAATTCCCAAGGTTAACTGGTATCAAATTTTTTGTCCTTGAAACTTTTAGTTTGGACTAATTAGTCTATAATCCTATACTTGAATTCAAATCTTAGCTTTCAGCTTTTATGGCAGTTAACTTGCCAAATCTGTAAAGTTTGCTGTTTGTAGCATTTAAATTGTTTATTGGTCTTACAGATTCTTCTTTCTTATGTTGGCATTGGTTGTTGTCATATAGCTTATTAAAAAGCTGATTAAATCTCAATGTCTAGTGTTGTGAGTGTTCTTATTTCCAATTATTCACTTCCATTGTCTTTCTAATGGGAATGGATTTTGCTCAATCAAATATCCTCGAGAAAATCAGACCAAGCTTACAAATTACTGTGTTCGAGAACCTATTTTCAAAAGAGAATATCCCAATTACATCTTATGAAAACCAAGAGAAATGTTTGTGATTTGAGAAAGGTACTGCTTGTCTCTTAGTTATTGTTTCCATTTTACAATAACATTTTGTGGGTGGGGAAAGTGTTGGGGGGGGGGGGGGGGGGG